TTGGTGCAATTCTGTACGTGGGAACATTGTATACTGTCAGGAGATGAAACTGGCGAGAAGGGGTTGACCAGTCAGCCATAGCCCTGTCTCTTATACACATCTAGATGTGTATAAGAGACAGGTGTGTGTGTGTGTGTGTGTGTGTGTGTGCAATGACTTGCTGTTTTCTGGTCGCCTGTCGCCTCTCTCTGTCGAGGCTGTACTTTAGGTAGGACAGATTCGTCATTTTGTTTGGCTGAGGGCTAACCGAGAGACCTACCTGTCAGGGAAATTCTTGAGAGACATATTTTGAAATCTGGGAAAATACAGGCCCGGTACTAACAGGATTCCCTATAGCTACCTAACTGCACATAGCAGGTCCGGGCTACCCCTAGTACAGACAGGCCCTAGAGGCCTATTTTGATAGACGGTCCTATAGCCTATAGCCGGGTCCGGTAGAGGCCGAGAGGCCGAAACAGATACGGTACCGGTCGGTCAGTCAGTCCGGTCCAGGTCGGGGTAGGCTAGTTGTAGTCTATAGGTAGATTGGGCACATCGGTTCAGGGCTTTTGGCAGTTGGTACCGAGTACATCGCTGCTGTGCTCCGCATTAACCGGTGGTGGTGATGACTCAGCGTGGAAGGGGACGGGCATAGCCAGACCTTCGGAGTGCAGGCCATAGCTGGGACCTGCGTTGTACTCTGCCAGCACGCAGGGGCTGACAGAGGTCTGAGTTATCGAGGTCTGCTGGAGGCGAGAGAGATTGGTGCCCTGCTGGAGGTAAAAGAGAGATTGGTGCCCTCCGGAGTGGGGTCCCAGGGGGTTTGCGCTGCAGCCATAGCTGCAGTGTCTTCATCTCAGAGGTCATCTTGTCATGGTTTGGTGGCGCTGCTGCAGACTTCTACCCGGGAAGTCTCCCGACACTTCGTCATCATCAGATACTCTTCTTCTTCATCCTCTGAGTGGCGCTTGGCCTCAGAGGCCTGTTTCAGGAAGGCGCTGCCCCTAGGAGGCTGTATTTGGGTGGCGCTTGATGTTTCAGGGACTCAGGGGGTGTTACGGGTGTTACTCAGGGTTGGGGAGTGAAGCGCTGCTCATATCTGAGCAGCGCACTGCAGTACTGAAGTGATCCTGACAATTCGAGACTCTGAGTTTAATAAACAGTGTGATACTGTGTTTGGGCTATCATCGTTTCATTGTTCTCTGGATGTGATCTGCTCGGCTTTTCTCTATGACTGGTTGTGAGGATTGAGTGAAGTGAATTGCACTTTCAGTGCACCCTGTCATATCGCATGGTCAAGTCTTCCGCTGTGTTTATCTCTCCCTGTGCGGTGTGATACTCCTATCCTCTCCCCTTCCTTCTGTGTATGTATGGGCATATGCGGAAGTCTATGTGAGTGAGTGTTGGCCTTCAGGCAACGAACAACCAGAATCATAATAGTTGGTATCGGAGAAATTGGATTCAGGCTCTGGAGCGATTGATGAGTTGGAGCATCCATCATCATTTGGCGATATACTGGAGTTGAGTTTCATGGCGATTCATCATCTTCAGGGTTGTTGTCAAGAAGGGTGGTGGTTGTGAGTGTGTGGCGAGAAGCAACAGGTAGAGGGAGACTCACTCCTGGCTAGGGTTGTGCAGGAGTGGTTGACGATTGACACTCAGAGGCCTCGGAGGCTTCGAGAGGCTAAATATAGCCTGGCGATTCATTTGGATACTGGCGATTGGCAAGGAAGTGATCCCAAGAGGTTTTGATTGTGGAATTGGGTCAGGATCCCCAATTTCCAGGCAGTGCAGTACAAGGTAATGTGGCGCTGCACTGACTTTGCCAGTTATTGACACCTGGGAGTCTGAATTCTCTGAATCTGTCAGTTGGGGGTGATGCGCCTCAGGGAAATCTACTGGATCACCAAGTTTGGTGCAATTCTGTACGTGGGAACATTGTATACTGTCAGGAGATGAAACTGGCGAGAAGGGGTTGACCAGTCAGCCATAGCCAGGGTTTCATGCATCTTCTTCAGAGTTGACCCTGAAGTAAGTGTGTTCCTTACTCCATCCTGTGTGGCGATTCTGGGGCTATTTTTAGAATAGCGAAATTTGGTCTGTCTACTAGGTGACAGTTGAAAATCGAAATTGAGACTGTGCAACAGCCATATCCAACTTCCCCTACATTCTTCTTTGACTTCTACTAACCCTGTTTGACTTTCCCTCAGGCTCATATTTCATCTGGGACTGCTTTACAGTATTGCGATTGACACTATGCAGTGAATTGGTGAATTCAGGGGTCTGATGTCAGTGATAATGCAAATTTGAATTCTGCGCTGACATAGCTAAAGCTAGGCTAGACTAGGGTTAGTCATAACTTTGATTCTGTCCGTTAGAATTCAGTTCTGTCAGTCTCTGGTAAATCGCAATTCAATATTCTAGCAGTGTTTGAAATCGCACAGCCAGATTTGATGTTTTGAGTCAGTTACAGTGAAAACTGTAATTCACCATACCCAGGGTATGACATACAGGGTCATACAGTATTAAGGTCTGTAGGGTAAGTCTAAAAATATGCTAGCCTATAAATCGCTGCATCTTGGTCATCAGTAGAGACCTGTCTAACCCTAATTAGTAACTCTGCCTGAGTACTAATCAACACTAATTAGTCCAAGACTGCATCCTCTCAGTTGCTGAACTAGGATTTGCAATTATTGCTTGCAATTGTTGTGTCAGGGCAGGGATGGAAAAATCGGGAAATTGGTTTTTGCCTGAGTGTACTCTGAACTGGTCCTGACCCTGACCCTCAAGCAGCCTGCTGAGACTGAGCACTTACTTGCTCAGATTAACCACTCTTCTCTGTCCAGGCAGGTAGCAGCAATTGGATTAGTACTGCAGAGAACATCCAATTTCTGTTACCTCCTGCTTGTTCTCTGATTGTGTGTTGATTTATTGTCTGTTTTGTGGTTCTGACAATGGAAGAAGCTGAGAATGGAGAGGCTTCTGAAGTGAAGCCTCAGATCCCGCCTGACCCTTTAGAGGTTGAACTGCGGGCCCAGGAGGAGAAACTCCACCAACAGGCCAAGGCAGTTGAAACTCTAAAGGCTGAGCTGCAAAAGAAGGAAGAAGCAGCCCAAAAGGAAGCCCGGAGGAAGCTGCTTGTGGCAGATGTGGAGAAGGTTAGAGTGAGCGGTTCTTCCAGTCAGTACAATAAAGACATTGTTGAGTTCGTCCTCTTGCAGGATGAGATCAACGGGTCTTATTTTACAAACTGGGATGACCAGATCATCAGTCTGGAGAACAACCATTCAACTTTTTTCAAAAAGCTGGATGACATTTCTTCCAAACTGGATCTGATCTTCACACATTTGAGGATTCCTACTCCTCTGACCATACCTCCCTCTCCTGGACCTTCTCAGACAGGGCCTCAGCCCCAACCACAATCCAGACCAACATCTCCAGGCTCTACACCCAAATCAACAACACCTTCCCAGACCTCAGCCCCATTTGAATCGCCGCGGCCCAAGCTGACCCCTCCATCCATGTTCTCAGGAGAAGATCCTAAGGTGGACGTGGCAGATTGGGTAACTGCGCAGAGAACCTACCTGAATGGGTTCAAATGCGACGAGGATGTGAAGGTGTCAGCCATCCTGGCTCGGCTGGAGAGGACTGCATTGAAATGGTGCACCTCCACCTCCAGCAAGCAGGGGATGAAGATGTTTGATTGGGCACAGAGACTGGGGGTGAATGGTTTCCTGCAGGCGCTGCAAGACCGGTTTGCAGACAAGGAGCAAGCAAGAAAGGCTGCAGATAAAATTTTGCGTCTGGGCCAGAAAAAGTTTGACGGCTCCTTGTCCAAACTGTACTCCACCTTTGAGAGTCTGACATCGATTGCAGGGTTAAAGATGAGTGAGAAGGATCTGCTCATTCATTTCTTGAGGGCAACACCTGAGCAATACCAGCTTGCTCTCTTCTCTCAGGGACACAAGCACTGGAGGTCCTTTGGCAAAGCAGCCCTGGACTTGGAGTCCAAGCTCCATGTCCAGGAAGCACCTTTTGAAGGAAGGAAGGGGCCTCCTCCAAAGGGCGAAGAAGGAGGAAGGGCGCCTTGTTTGCTACTACAGCGTCTGGTTCTGATAGTGACGCAGCATCCCAACCCTCCACCTGGGACTGCATCATCATCAGTTGCAGATCCTGTTCTTGCCTTGGCTGATGCTTTGATGAGCCTGACTAAGGAAAAATCCTAGGTCCAGAAAGTACCAACCAGTCGACAAGGGAAAGGGAAGGGACGTGCCTCTTCCCCTGGTGCCCAGAGAGTACCTTTACCACGAGACGTCTGTTGGCCAGCTGACCCACTTGATCCTTCCACCTTCCCCTGGCATGCACTCAGGATCCAGGAGGGGGTTTGGAGGAAGAGGAAGGATAAGGGGGTCTGCCTGAGATGCGAAGGGGACCATTTCTTAAAGGACTGTCCCAGCATGCCTCGCAGGTCTCCAGGCAGCTCTAGTTCAAAAAACTAGAGCAGAGAGAGGTGGAAGCAGCAGCTCGTTCCACCAGTGCTGATTCACTTTCTGATGAAGATGAATCTTCACATTCTCTCGTTGGTTCCTCTATCTCTAGAGTTGCATCATCAGGGTTTTTCACTTTTAAAGACTCTGAGTTGGATGAGACGTGGAAGGAGGACGATGCGCAGACCATTGCTGATCTTTTCCTGTCCCTGCAGGAGAAGAAAAAGCATAAGTCTGAACTCATCCTGCTTCGACCCTACATCTTGGGGGCCAAGATCAACGGGCTCTTAGACTGTGGGGCTACTCGCAACTTCATCTCTCCCAAAGCAGTCAGCAAGCTGCACTTGGACCAGAGGTTGGTGAAATAACGACAGCCTTTGGAGGTGCGCATTGAAGACTCCTGCACAGTCAGGATTACTACTGCTGTAAAGGGCCTATTTGTGTCCTTTGACAAGCAGGGAGAAGTCAGGCATCGCCTGAACTTCTGTGTGTTTCGGGACTATCGTGGTCTCAACAAGATCACGAGGAAGTCTACAGAGCCTCTTCCTCGTATTGATGACCTGTTGGACATGGTGCAGGGCTGTACCATTTCAGCAAGATCGATCTCAAATCTGGTTATCATCAGATTGAGATGGCTGAAGGCGATGTCCACAAGACAACCTTCAAAACGAGGTATGACTCTTATAAGTACCTGTCTATGTTGTTCGGTCTTTGCAATGCGCCAGACACCTTCCAAACAGAGATGCACTGCATACTGAGGCCTTATCTGGATAAGTTCGTAGTTGTCTACCTCGACGACATCTTGGTATTCAGCCGTTCTTTCCAGGAGCATGCGCAACGTCTGGCTCTGGTCCGCCAGGCCTTGCGTGCTAACCAGTATAAGATCAACCGGGAGAAGTCCTCTTTTGGAGTTCCCTTTGTAGTCTATCTGGGACACATTATTTCGGGAGAGTGGTTGGCTCCTGAAGCAACAAAAGTTGCTGCAGTTCAGGACTGACCGCGACCTGCTAACATTCGTGATGTCCGGTCATTCTTGGAGCTTGCATCCTACTACAGAAAGTTCATTAAGAACTTCTCTGCGATTGCAGCACCCTTGACTGGTCTCACAAAGAAAGACACTTCCTTTCTTTGGACATCAGAATGTCAGGAGGCCTTTACACGTTTCAAGGAGGCCTTGATTCGTGCCCCTGTTCTGAAGTTACCTGACCCTACCTTGCCTTTTGTGCTTATCACTGATGCGAGTCAGTATGGTGTAGGGGCAGTACTTCAGCAGGATGATAGAAATAGTCTGCAGCCCGTTGAGTACATGAGCAAGAAGATCAAGACCAAGAAGCTGCAAGACTCTACCTATGAGAAAGAGCTTTATGCTCTTGTGTCAGCGCTCAAGCATTGGAAGCATTTCCTCCGGGGCAGGCACTTCAAGATCTTTTCATATCACTCCACCCTGCATTGGATGAAGTCCCAGGGCGAATTGAATGACAAGCTTGCTCGCTACATACAGTTCATTCACATGTTTGACTTTGAAGTGAAGCACAAGAAGGGCTGCTACAATCGAGTAGCAGACGCCCTTTCTCGTAGGTCTGACGCTCTCTTTCGTATCTCGTTTACTCACTCATTTGGAGAGAGGACACGTCATACCATTGCCCAGTTGCTGCCCCAGGATGATATATTTGGGCCTATTGTGAGGAATCTCTAGAATGATCCTGCCACTGAACCAGGATATTCTCTGGTTTCAGAACTGCTGTACACGTGCAGCAGACGCGAGGAGCGCTTGTGCATTCCCGAGGACCGCACGCTGTGAACACTTCTGATGTCAGAGTGTCATGATGCTCGTGGTCACTTTGGTGCCCTCAAATCTTATGCAGCCCAATGTCTTCCCCCGTACGTCGTACGGGGGGTCCCCGTACGGGCCGTCCGGACGGCTGTACAGACGCCCGTACGAGCGTACGGACGCTTCCCGTCCGAACGTG